AGCGGTGGAAAAGGTATATTTGTCAGACGAGAGCACCTTCAGGAGCAGCAGGTCAAGCACCAAACTTGTCTGATGTTCGGAGGGTAGCAGTCGATTTGGCTCCCGCTACAGTGCCAAGGAGATCAAATATTAAGCTTTTGTGATGGTTTGGGGTTTGGGGTTCGGCGGCCAAAGAGGTGCAGGGGAGCTGTATCACCCAAAAAGAACACAAACTATGCAGTCAGAAAACTAATTGGACGTCTTGAAGAAGTTCATGCATCCCTTCTTTGACCTTCTTCAGCCAGACGGCGCTTTCCTGCCGGCACCTCTGATCTACGTGGGCACACAAGGAGCAGATGGGCACCATTCCGACCCCATTTATTTCATGCCTGCAGGAGTCCATCGCTTCGAAAACCTGGCTACCAGCAGGCCCCAGCGCCTTCAGGATGTCATAGGACTTAGGGGAGATCTTACTCTGTACTAAAGGAAGCATGTGAATGGAATAGCCATTGCTCTTTTTGGGTTACTCAGTGAGTCTTACAAATTATGTGGGATTTTTTTTTACTGGAGAAAGGTAAAGAGTCCTCTTTATCCGCCGATCCTCCAATCCCTTGCACGTTGTTGTCGTGGGGGGCTTAGGAGACGGAGACCGATTCCCACTGCTGGGGATCTCCCCTCCCTTAGACCTCATAATTTCAGTCTTTTCTTCCCCTTTCCTTTCTTTATCTTCCCCAGCCTTTCCCCTGTCCAGTTCCTGAGATGTGTGAGCCGTGTTGAAAGGATGAAAAACTGACTTTGTGCCAGGCATGAACGGCTTTTTATCTTCTCACATATTTTCATTTTCTTCTTCATCCCCTTCCACTTCCTAAGGGTCGTGTTGATAGGAGGAAAGACTGTCTTTTGGCTCCTAGGATGACCATTTCTTCTACCCACTTCTTTCAGGTTCATTATGGTCAATAGTAAAGATTTTTTTTACCCTTATTAAACGCATTAAGGATTCCCCCCTTCATCAGTGAACCTATTTAAATGATTTCTCTTGTTTACTGAGGGGCTTTCCTTTGACCACGGTTCCAACCACTCGTACGAATACCCCCTCTTCGATGGTTGCTATCAGCTTTTTCATTCCGAATCAGTAAATCCAGGCCATTACTCAACCTTCAGAATACACCCCTTTCTCACTACTAATATCCACTCCATGTCCTGCACAGTCTTCTTCATTGTCTACCCCTCCCCTCCCCCTTATTACTACTATTCATCCTTAATGTCCTCCCAACAGTACTATATTTCTCTAAATCACCCCATCTTCCCGCCCTTTTCCTTCTACTGCTTCCACCTCTGCGAACCTTTTGAGTATCCTTTTTGGCTCAGCCAAGTGGGATCGATTCTTTGTAATTCCCCTACAACCCCTTATTCTGACAATACCCTTCACTTCCAACAATATCTCCAGAGACAAGTAGACAAAGTTTCTTTGCGCAGTCGTTCCAATTGTTCAATCCTTGCCCCAGTTACATCATAGTCCCAAGTTTGTTCACTGTCTACCAGTCAAACACTCGCTACACAGCCCTTTCAAACTGTTCTGCTCTGTCACGCACATGTGGTAATTGTGGTGGTTCCCATATGTACTTTATAGGAGCTGTCCAGCCTACAACCTCGAAACAGGTAGCAGTTCTCAGGTTCAAACTAGGCCTCAGCTCTTGTCTCAACTAATTTTGCACGGTCTTTCCATCTCCAACTTCCCTTTTCCTGGTCTCCCCCCAACCTTCCCATGTTCCATTCCCAAGGTGTAAGGATCGTGTTGAAAGACCTCAGGGAGCCACGGGCACGGCATTCCCTTGTTAATTGTCTAGCCCTTACCTCTCATATACCTGAGGGGTGGACCCTTCATCTTTCCCAGCTTACCATGGCCAATAATGAAGATTTTTTTTTTACCCGTATTAAAGATATTGAGGCTTGCCCCTTTATCAACTAGCCTCTATGAATCTAGCTCCTGTGGTTTACCGACCCCTGGCTTCCCTTTGATCACAGCTCAGACCACTGCTACTACCCCCCTCGTCGACACAAGCTGTCAACTTGACCACTCCCGAATCGTCTATCCAGGTTATAACTCGACCTTCAAAAGATACCCCTTCCAATATCCTCTACTTGCATAATTGTCTTAATTTTCTACTTCCCTTATTACAAGTCTTAAACCCTATAGCCTTCATCCCCACAGTACTATCTCACTTCACACTGCTCCCTCGTAGACCCGTCCTCGCCTCTCTACAATTTCCACTTCTACAACCTTTTGAGACCTCACCAGCAAACCTATTCTTGCCCAACCCCACAAGTCTCTTAATACATGAACTAGAACTGTTTTCTAGATTGCCGTGTCTCTGACAAAGATAGGAAGTCCCTCATCAGTAATCCCAAAATTACCTTTTGTAGACATGACCTTCTCCATTACGTCTGTATAGGAGAATTTTGTCCTATCAACCCCACCCCCGCAATGACGGTTTGGCCACCCTGCAAAGCATTGTTGCTT